GGAAAACATACAGAGGAGGGTGATAAAGTTGATCCCATGTATCAGTAATCTTCCCTATGAGGACAGACTCAGGGCCCTGAATCTGCACTCTCTCTCAAAAGGCGTACAAATAGGGGGATATGATCGAGGTGTATAAATAGAAAACAGGAATAAATAAAGGGGATGTAAATAGTGTGCTGAAAATTTCTGGCCAAGACAGGACTCGCAGCAATGGTTTCAAGTTGGAAAAATTCAGATTCGGGAAGGATATAGGAAAGCACTGGTTTGGTAATAGAGTTGTGGATGAGTGGAACAAACTCCCCAGTACAGTTATTGAGGCTAAAACGTTGTGTAGTTTTAAAAATAGGTTAGATAAATACATGAGTGGGTGTGGGTGGGTGTGAGTTGGACCTGACTAGCTTGTGCTACTAGGTCTGATGCCGTGCTCCTTCCTTAAGTGGAAGTGTTCTTATGAGGGCAAATATTCTATTAGTGGGATGGATTTGTGAAGGACCTGCCTAGTATAGGCCAACAGGCCTGCTGCAGTGTTCCTCCTTTCTTATGATCTTATGATGCAGATCTACACAATTGACCCTGACATCAATAACATAGATCTGATCTATGTGATGGACAGTGAAAGGATTAAAAGCTAAGAAATTTGTGGTTTCTAGGATGCAATGATATTTAATAACAAGAAATTAGTGATCACTAAGATGTAATGATATTTAAAAACCAAGAAACTGGTGGTTACTAGAATGTAGTGATATTTAAAAACCAAGAAATTGATGGCTGCTAGAATGTAGTGATATTTAAAAACCAAGAAACTAGTGGTTACTAGATTTTTTTTTTTTTTAACAAGTCAGCTGCCTCCCACCGAGGCAGGGTGACCCAAAAATGAAAGAAAATCCCCAAAAAGAAAATACTTTCATCATCATTCAACACTTTCACCTCACACATAATCAGTTTTTGCAGAGGTGCTCAGAATACAACAGTTTAGAAGCATATACGTATAAAAATACACAACATATCCCTCCAAACTGCCAATATCCCAAACCCCTCCTTTAAAGTGCAGCCATTGTACTTCCCATCTCCAGGACTCAAGTCCGGTTATATAAAAGTAACCGGTTTCCCTGAATCCCTTACCTAAATATTACCCTGCTCACACTTCAACAGCTCATGTCCCAAATACCATTCGTCTCCATTCACTCCTATCTAACACGCTCACGCACGCTTGCTGGAAGTCCAAGCCCTTCGCCCACAAAATCCCCTTTACCCCCTTCCTCCAACCTTTTCGAGGACGACCCCTACCCCACCTTCCTTTCCCTACAGATTTATACGCTCTCCATGTCATTCTACTTTGATCCATTCTCTCTAAATGACCAAACCACCTCAACAACCCTTCTTCAGCCCTCTGACTAATACTTTTATTAACTCCACACCTTCTCCTAATTTCCGCACTCCGAATTTTCTGCATAATATTCACACCACACATTGCGCTTAGACATCTCCACTGCCTCCAACCGCCTCCTCGCTGCAGAATTTACAACCCAAGCTTCACACCCATATAAGAGTGTTGGTACTACTATACTTTCATACATTCCCTTCTTTGCCTCCACAGATAACATTTTTTGTCTCCACATATACCTCAACGCACCACTCACCTTTTTTCCTTTATCAATTCTATGATTAACCTCACCTTTCATAAATCCATCCACTGACATGTCAACTCCCAAATATCTGAAAACATTCACTTCTTCCAAACTCTTCCTCCCCAATTTGATATCCAATTTTTCTTTATCTAAATCATTTGATACCCTCATCACCTTACTCTTTTCTATGTTCACTTTCAACTTTCTACCTTTACACACACTCCCAAACTTGTCCACTAACCTTCGCAATTTTTCTTTAAAATCTCCCATAAGCACAGTATCATCAGCATAAAGTAACTGTGTCAATTCCTACTTTGAATTTGATTCCCCATAATTTAACCCTTTCAGGGTCCGTCCCGTAGATCTACGGCTTTACGTTCAGGGTCCAAACCGTAGATCTACGCCACGAGCTCAGCTCACTCTGATAAACTGTGATTGGTACATTTGGGCCTAGATATGAGAGAATACATCTATGTGGTATGTGTGCACCACATAAAACAGATCCTGCAGCACACTGTGTATAATGAGAGAAAAAAACTTAAATCATGATTTTTCGATTAAAACAGCAACTTTGCAGTGTTTTTTCGTATGTTTTTTATAGTTGTATTTGCGATTTCTTGGTCTCATTTGATAGAATGGAAGACATATTACAGAAATAGAGATGATTTTGATTGGTTTTAGCATTGGAAATGGCTTGAAACTGAGCTCAAAGTAGCGGAAATGTTAAATTTTTGCCGATATTCAAGAGTAAACAAACGACCTCACACGTCTAATACACATCAGCTGGTGGGTCTAATATACATTCACAAATATGGTGATGATATTTATACAATTATTACAGTATTGCATAACAGTAAATCTTATATTTTTTTGGTGTGAATAAAAATTCATTATGTGAATAAAAAATCAAAATGGAATTTATTTGTAAAGCCTCAAAACATAACTAATGAACAGAGGAAACGTTAGTTTAGTGCCAGGAATGCCTACATTGTTTATTCTGGACCCTATTTTGAAATTGGAATATTTTGAACTTTGTGTTAAATTGGCCAAATTAACAATTTCCGATCACTTTATTTTGTAGTTGAAACAGTTGACTTGGCGATTTCTTGTGCTCAATCGATAGAATAGAAGTAATACTAGTGAAATAGCTAAGAATTTGGTTGATTGGAATAATGTAATTGGCCTAAAATGCGAGTCGAAGTCGGCAAAATCGCCGATTCGTAAATGTCGCTGACACATCAAAATTCGCGAGAGCATAATTTCGTCAATTTTCCACCAAATTTCGTACTTTTTGTTTTATTACCTTCACAAAAAGATTCTCTACGATTTCATAAGAAAAAATAACAAATTTTTTTTTTTAAAATACTTGGACACTGGTGCGTGACTCCAGATTTGGGCCTTGGACCCTGAAAGGGTTAATCTCACCCCTCTCCCGAACACCCTAGCATTTACTTCTTTTACAACCCCATCTATAAACATATTAAACAACCGTGGTGACATTACACATCCCTATCCAAGACCTACTTTTACCGGGAAGTAGTCTCCCTCTCTTCTACACACCCTAACCCGAGCCTCACTATCCTCATAAAAACTCTTTACAGCATTTAGTAACTTACCACCTATTCCATATACTTGCAACATCTGCCACATTGCTCTCCTATCCACTCTATCATATGCCTTTTCTAAATCCATAAATGCAATAAAAACTTCCCTACCTTTATCTAAATACTGTTCACATATATGCTTCAATGTAAACACTTGATCTACACATCCCCTACCCACTCTAAAACCTCCCTGCTCATCCGCAATCCTACATTTTGTCTTATCTCTAATTCTTTCAATAATAACCCTACCATAAACTTTTCCTGGTATACTCAGTAAACTTATTCCTCTATAATTTTTACCATCTCTTTTGTCCCCCTTCCCTTTATATAAAGGGACTATACATGCTCTCTGACAATCCCTAGGTACCTTCCCCTCTTTCATACATTTATTGAACAAAAATACCAACCACTCCAACACTATATATCCCCCCCTGCTTTTAACATTTCTGTCATGATCTCGTCAGTTCCAGCTGCTTTACCCCCTTTCATTCACTAGAATGTAGTGATATTTAAAAACCAAGAAATTGATGGTTGCTTGAATGTAGTGATATTTAAAAAAGAAATTAGTGGGTGCCAGAAGACAGAGATTGATTTAAAGACAGAAATTGGTTATTGTCAATATGTAGATTAATTTAAATCAGATACTGTTGCTGCATTAGTAGATACAATGGAAGACACTATTTTCAAAAAGGAAGCTTATACCAACTTACAGACCTAGTGAACATTAAAGGATTATGAAGCAAGTCATATACACTACACGATATGTCTGGTCTTACCTTCGTAAAAATGATGAGGTAATTATAAATAACAGCAAGAGACCTTAGAAAATTCCAAGATGGGTGCCATGAGAAAGGCTACCCCTTTTAGTGGTAAATTTTCACTTAATGAAAATTCAGTAAGGAAACCAATTTTCTGAGTCACATTCACCACTTTGTCTTCTTAATTAATAAAATCTTAAGAGCTGAAGTTGTAAGATTTATTTTTTAATATATGAAATGAATTGCTCTCCTTGGGGAAGTGGAACAGTGTTCTTCCTCCACAAGCCATATGCATCATAAGAGGCAACTAAAATGCCAGGAGCAAGGGGCTAGTTACCCCTTCTCCTGGGATATGGCTGGCTCGTTGAAAGAAGAATTGAACTGTGTATTTTTTTCAAGTGCCTATCATTTGCTTCAATCGAGTGGTACGTTAATACACCGATGTTAATCTGAAAGCACCACAACTTAAGTCAATTTAAAACTTTTAGGAATTGATAATTAACTTGAATAATTTAAATCTGCTTGTGCTAAGACAATAGAGAAGTAGTTTTCCTTTACATAAACTTGATTTACTCTATATGAATGCTTCATTTCATCCCAGCATTGCACTTTTTTTTACCTGAAGCCTACCTAAAGGGAACTTCAGGGGTCAATTCCCCTGTAGCCTGGTCCATGACCAGTCTAAATTTGTTTTAACCCTTAAACGGTCCAAACGTATATATATGTTTTTTCAACATCTAAAAGTACGTAAAAAAATGCAGGTCTTCTTTTTTGTTTTACATTTGAAAACGTGTAAAAAAACTTTTATCTACATTCTTTTTTTTTTTTTGTTATATTTGAAAATATGTAAAAAAAAGTAGATCTACTTTTGGAGCACTATGAATTTGAACGTCGATCTGTTTGGACCGTTTAAGGGTTAAAGAAATTTTACACAATTTCAGTTTCTCTTTATATTCTAAAACTTTCATTTCTTGACATACATTACAAAGAGAAACAGCACATTCACTTACACTCCTGAAGACTGAAACACACACTAGCATGATTCAGTATTGTAGGACACAAAAATCACAAACATTTGAAATACTGTACTCTACATGAAGTCTATGACTAAGCATCCCTCCAAGAAAGGTAAAGTGCTCTTGATCCAAGGAATTAAAGCTACCCACCCTATCTTGGATTAAACCTGATTACCTCCCATGTATATAATAATATGACCACGCATGAAGTTTAAATGAATAAAAATTGACTGGAAAAATCTTCAAAGGAGAAAACTAATGTGTAACACTGAAGGAAAGGATTCAAGGATGGAAGGGGCAAAAGGAGGAATGGATAAAAGGTTCAGAAACAAGAGAAGCAGCAAGATCTGTGATTTTTCTCCTGGACAGTAAACATTACTAAGTGTTAACTACACAAAAAAATCCAGCATTGTTTTGCAAATTTAAAATCTATGAGGAAAATTTAATGAAACTGTGAGGTGTATTTATAACAGTTTTAAATAAAATTCTACAGAAGTCTATTACCTGCACTCAAACATTGTGTTGGCTACACTTTCTGAATGGCTAACTTGGTGGTATTTAACAGTGTAGTAGGCTGGCCCTTCCTGGCCTTCTGCCAACTTCCATGAGAGGTGGATGCTGGTCTGTGACCGAGGGTCAGCTTCCAACTGAAATGAGTAATTTTTAATATAGTTAATTGGAGTGCAAGATCAGCAGTAATTTGCACAAAAAATAAATACGTACATCGAGATAAATCACATAAATTTAGTCATTAGTGTTGTTTCAATGCCTTGGAGCAGGTTAGGTTAGGTAAGGTTTGTCATGAAACAGGACAAGTATTTCCTGATGCAGGTCTTAGTCAGGTGATGACCCACTGTTGGAACTTTTGGTCATCTGACCGAGGCCTTCCACTGCTTACTGGTCCTTAGAGCAAAAATTTTAGTCAGTGAAAGATTTTTTAGTATCTATTATACCATACATGTATTTTTTAATATACAGTACTCTCCCCCTAGGTAGCAGGTTGGTAGTCAGCAACCACCCAGGGAGGTACTACCGTCCTGCCAAGTAAATGTAAAATGAAAACCTGTAATTGTTTTACATGATGGTAGGATTGCTGGTGTCTTTTCTGTCTCATAAACATGCAAGATTTCAGGTACGTCTTGCTACTTCTACTTATGCTTAGATCACACTGCACATGCATGTATGAATATATACACACACACACACACACCCTTCTGGGTTTTCTTGTATTTTCTTACTAGTTCTTATTCTTGTTTATTTCCTCTTATCACCAAGGGGAAGTGAAACAGAATTCTTCCTCTGTAAGCCATGCATGTCATAAGAGGTGGCTAAAATGCTGGGAGCAAGGGGCTAGTAACTTCTTCTCCTGTATACATTACTAAAGTTAAAAAGAGAAACTTTTGTTTTTCTTTTTGGGCCACCCTGCCTCGGTGGGATATGGCCAGTTTGTTGAAAGAAGAAAAGATGTATTTTCCTTTAGAAGGGATATGTAGTACAATATTTTGAATGGCTTTATTCAAAATCATACCCTCAAAACCAACAGAAGTTGACTGCTGGTGCCAGTTGACCATACTGTATCTGAATGGAAAGATAAACACATGACACTTTTCTCTGTATTTATTGTTATCTTGCAAAAAGAAAACCTATTTACACCACAGCTAGTTTTCTACTCAATGTACAGTCTCTCCTCACTTAGAGATGTACTTGTTCACCAACAACTCACACTTACAACAGGCTCTCTGGCCAGTATGCATACTTAAATACAGGTCTCCTTCAACATTCGCAAGGGTTAGGGGATCAAGAGCCTTGCAAATGTTGAAAAATCGTGAATGTTTAGTGCTCCACTATGAAAACATACATGCATTGTATATACATATATACATGTATTGTATATACATACATGCTCCTCCCACTCATATATATGTCCAATTTATTTTTAAAGCTACTCAAGGTCCTATCGAAGCTAAAACCTTGGGTAGTTTCAAATTTAGGTTGGATAAATACATGAGTGAGAGGGGTAGGATTTGAGTGGGACTTACACATGAGTAAATAGAATTCTCAAAGCTTACTGCTTGGGTAGTGTTTATTCTGTTAGTGGGTTGGATTTGTGAAGGACCTGCCTAGTATAGGCCAAGAGGCCTACTACAGTGTTCCTCCTTTCTTAAGTTCTTACGTTGATGAATGCATTCTCCGTGCTACCCGATGAATGTGAGTAGACTACTAGGAACATCATGACTAACAACACCAAGGAAGGTAAAAATATTGTTGTTGGAGATAGCCAAGTTAGGTATATGCATAGGGCATTCTGCTTGAAGGAAAGGAGTAGGAGACAGAGGGTTTCCTTTCCTGGGGCTGGGATGGAGGATATTGTTAGCCGGCTTGACAACATCATGAACGGTAATGGGATCAATCCTATTATCTGCCTCAGTGCTGGAGACAATGATGTAGGCAAGCGTAGAAGTGAGGATTTAGTTAGAAAGTTCAGGACAGTAATAGACATAATTAGGAAGAAGGGGGGTGCCCTGTTATATGTGGCATTTTGCCAAGAAGGGGTATTGGAAATGAATGGTTGTCCAGAGTAATTGGTATTAATTGTTGGCTGGACAAACACCAAGGATAATGCAGTACCATTCATTGACAACTAGGACCACTTCTATGGCCGAAATGACATGTATGCCAGGGATGGGGTTCACTTACCCAGGGCAGGTGTGGGTTTTCTTGCTAGCTCAGTTGAGGGGATTGTTAGGACTTTAAACTAGGATTAGTTAGAGGTAAGGGTTTAGAAATGAAAAATAATGAGTATGGACATATTGACTTAGGCTTTGATAATATGAATCTTAATACTAAAAGTCATGGAGTAACGCTAGGTAATGATAATTTCAGAAATTGTGTAAAAGCGAAGGTGAATAGGAAAAATGTGCAGAAGAAAAAACATATGATGGTATTTTATGCTAACAGTCGAAGTGCAAGAAATAAGATTAATGAACTACATTTGGTAGCATGTGCTGGGAACTTTGATACCACTGCATTAACTGAAACGTGGTATGATTTAAGGAGTCGGGATATGATTGTTGAGTGTAATATTCGAGGGTTTAAGTTGTTCCATGTGGACAGATGTAATGGGAAGGAGGGAGGAGTTGCATTATATGTTCGAGAAAATATTAACTGTTGCATAATAACAGGTATAAAAATAGATGAAATAGTAACAGAATCTATTTGGGTAGAGTTTGTAGAAGGTCAAGAAAAGCTAATTCTAGGTGTAATATACCGACCTCCAGGCTTGAATCACGACAGAGGGAGACTTCTGTGGGACGAAATTGTTAGAGCATCCAGACACAATAACGTAGTGATAGTAGGGGATTTTAACTTCAAATTGACTGGATTTCTCTGACCAGTAATCTGGAGTCCAGTGACTTTATGGAAGTGGTTCAGGACTATTTTCTAAAGCAGTGTGTAACAGAGCCCACCAGGGGTAATAATTTGCTCAACCTATTCTTGTCAAATAAGGAAACACTCATAAATAATCTAGAGATCACTGAAGAGCTTGACACAAGTGATCACAAATCCAACACTTTCAGCATTAACTGGGAATACAAGAATAATGAAAATATGGTAAAAATCCCTGAATTTCGTTCTGCCAATTCTAGTGGACTTAAGGAACACCTGTCTAATGTCGATTGGGGTATTCTAGCTAATGATTTTATTGACTATGATCATACTTATGATTACGTTCATGATTTTTTCTTAATAATGTACACCATGCTCAGAGTATATACATTCCCCAGAGAGAAATTAGGTCTAATAATAAGGCTCCCAAATGGGTTAACAGGAGGCTAAAGCATCTATTAGGGGAGAAAAGGGGAACTTAGAGGTGCATCAGAAGAGGAGAAGTTAACCTTACTGACCAATATGTACAGCTTAAAAGAGAAGTAAAAAAGGGGATTAGACTATGAAATTAGAGTTGCTAATGAATCAAAGACCAATCCAAAAGAGTTCTTTCAAGTGTATAGGACGAAGGTGAAGGAAAAAGTAAGACCTCTCAAAATTGGGAATGGACAGCTGATGGATAACATAAGAACATAAGAAAGGAGGAACACTGCAGCAGGCCTGTTGGCCCATACTAGGCAGGTCCTTCACAGATCCATCCCACTAACAGAATATTTGCCCTCATAAGAACATAAGAAATAAGGAACACTACAACAGGCCTACTGGTCTATGCGAGGCAGCTCCAATTCTTCCCACCAATGCTTTGACCTAGAGAGGTCAGACACATCACTTAAGGGAGGAGCACTGCGTCCGATCTAGTAGCTAATCAGGTCCATTTCACACCCACTCATAAGAACACAAGAAAGAAGGAACACCGCAGCAGGCCCACCAACCCATGCAAAGCAGGTCCATGTCCCCCATCCCCCGGATTAGCCCAATGACCCACCTCGTCAGGTCACTTCCACTTAAGGAAGGAGCACGGCATCAGTCCTAGTAGCACAAGCTAGTCAGGTCCAACTCACACCCACCCACACCCACTCATGTATTTATCTAACCTATTTTTAAAACTACACAACATTTTAGCCTCTATAACTGTACTGGGGAGTTTGTTCCACTCATCCACAACTCTATTACCAAACCAGTGCTTTCCTTTATCCTTCTTGAATCTGAATTTTTCCAACTTGAAACCATTGCTGCGAGTCCTGTCTTGGCCGAAAATTTTCAGCACACTATTTACATCCCCTTTATTTATTCCTGTTTTCCATTTATACACCTCGATCATATCCCCTTAATTCTACGCCTTTCGTGAGTGCAGATTCAGGGCCCTCAGTCTATCCTCATAGGGAAGATTTCTGATACATGGGATCAACTTTGTCATCCTCCTCTGTACGTTTTCCAGTGCATTTATATCCATTCCGTAATACGGTGACCAGAACTGTGCAGCATAGTCTAAATGAGGCCTAACCAAGGATATATAGAATTGAAGAACAACCTGAGGACTTCTATTATTTATACTTCTTGATATGAAACCAAGGATTCTGTTAGCTTTATTGCAAACACTAATGCACTGTTGTCTTGGTTTTAGATTACTGCTAACTAGAACTCCTAAATCCTTTTTGCAATCAGTAGTATTAAGATCTACATTATTTAGTTTATATGTGGCATGGTTATTTTCCTGTCCAACATTTAGAACTTTGCATTTGTCTATATTAAACTGCATCTGCCACTTCTCCGACCATTGCATCAGTCTATTCAAATCATCCTGGAGTGCTCTAGTGTCCTCATTAGAATGAATTGGACAGCCTATTTTGGTGTCATCACCAAATTTGCTTATGTCACTATTTATTCCCCCATCTATGTCATTTATGTAAACTGTGAACAACAACGCGCCCAACACTGACCCCTGCAGAACACCGCTTGTGATGTGCCCCCATTCTGATTTCTCCCCATTTACGCAAACTCTCTGCTGCCTATATGTCAGCCATGCCTCTACCCAGGAAAAAATTTCTCCTCCTATTCTATGTGCCTTAAGTTTCCTGAATAGCCTCTGATGTGGAACTCTATCGAAAGCCTTACTGAAGTCCATATACACAATATCATATTCATTACCATGATCTACCTCCTCAAACACCTTAATGAAAAAAGTTAGTAAATTCTTAAG